TCTCTCTCTCTTTCTCTCTTTCTCTCTTTCTCTCTTTCTCTCTTTCTCTCTCTCTCTCTCTCTTTCTCTCCCTTTCACTCTCTCATTTTCTCTTTCTTTCTTTCTTTCTTTCTTTCTTTCTTTCTTTCTTTCTCTCTTTCTCTCATTAAGTTTGTCACCCCGAACGAATGTATTCTAAGCATGACAAATATCTATCATCGATCATACGATTCTATTGAACATTAACGCGTCTAATATTATTTGATAACGACGTCAGCTCAAATAAAAATATCCCCAAGCTCCCTTCCTTCTTCCTTTGAATAATACCGTTTTCGCGCGCTTTGTTTCAACTATTAATTTTAATCGATAATAGGACAAAGCTACGAAGCGAAAATACGGGAGAGGAAGTTGACGGTAGGGAATTAATAAGGGTGATAGAAAAAGTATATGGTGACGCCGGCAGATCGAAAATGGCCTATTCCAGCCAGTGGAAACGTTTCCGTTTGACCCCTGACTTGAAACGCCCTAGTCATTGCGTATAAACGGATCGCCTCTGAAAGAGATACCTTTTCAAACCCCTATTGCTAGTGTCGATCTTTGTTACGCAATTCTTCCACACTTCCTCCCATTCGATGCTGTTTGGCGTGATGCCACTAAAGTGAAGCAAAACCTCCCTTATCAGGTGTATCTTGTTGCTATCGAATTGCTGCTTTCCCATTTTACCATTGACATTGCAGAGTATCCTCTCTTCGGGAGTAAAGAGGATCTTCATGAGATCGCATGCTAGGTGATCCATCGGTCGAGATGACGCCCACGTTGAGATTATGTCCGGGCTCGGTAGTAGATCGGCGTAAGGTAGCTGCTGATACGAGTAAAGCTGCGGCTTCACGTCCGAGAATCCAGTTAGGCCGGATAATCCAGATATACCGGAAATGTCTTCAGCAGGACTGTTCCCAGACCCTGCCACACACATCAGCACAGCGCACTTTAGACACGGATCTTCCCGCAAACGACATACGCTTACAAAAACGCGCGATGCTTACGTATGCAAACACGCACGCACGCAAGCACGCACGCACAACACAAACAAAACAAATACATATATAAGCGCGCACATTCGACTTTCGTTTCACACGGTTTCTTGAACATTTGGATCGGGATTATATACGAGAGATAAGATCCAGATCATGATCGGTGAAACGATCGATCGCATGCGCGTATTTATTTATGAAAAGCTGGATCAAATAATTTATCGTGTATCATTTATATTATTTTTTCATAAAGTAAATATTTAACAATATATTATCCAGCTCTCCACAATTGCCCTTTCACATTAACTCTTTCAAGCTCCCTTTCTTTCCCTCATACATCATATTCATGCACCTACTGATATATATACGATACTTTCTTTCTTTCTTTCTTTCTCTTTCCCTTTCATTCACTCCCTCCTACAACACACACGCAATTGCCCTTTCTCTCACTTTCGTACCCTCTCGTTCCATCTTTTTCTCAACAACCTCATGGCGTAACAAACGAAAAATTAAATGTGAATCGCTAATCGAGCGACAACTAAAGAGTTACGATCAAAGCAAACTAAACATTCTGGCAAGCTTCAAATTCGGTACCAAAGAAAATGCCTCCGGTACCTAATAGCTGCCGGTAAAGATGATTCGAATATTCTTAAGTATTTAAATGTAATAAATGAAGAAATAAATATAATAAATGTATCACTTATTCAGAGAAATTATTGACTTTCACTAATCATTTATAAAAGTTTCAATGTTTCTCTGCTCTCCGAGTTCTAAATTTCCTAAAATACAAATCAAAAACTATACAAGTCAATTTGGTTACATTAATTTCACATTTCAATCGATTATCGTAACAAAAAAATTCTAATTATGAAAATAAGAGAAGTTTAAAACGTAAAAAAATTTTTAAAGAATGCACTTTTGAACCTGTGCTTTCGATCTCCAAAAATAGTCGAATAGATAAAATAAATATGAACTACGATATAACAACGAATCATTCCTAATTATAATTAAAAGTCATAGAAGTCCCCAATATCTGATAAATAATCCAACACGTAACTTATGCAAAGGAAAATCATTTCTAGAATATGCAAATTAATTTATCTAACAAAAGTATAACTCGCAAAGAAAATAGGTAACATTGAAATAAGTGGAAGAGAAAAAAAATGATATGCTAATACGTAAATATGGAATTAAAAAATAAAAAGATATTTACTTAACTGACCTTGTATTCCATCCATTTGTCCAGTGTCCAATCTTTCCGTTGGATCTTTTTCGATGGAGCTTCTTGTTTGTAAATCTTCCGGTGTCATCTCTAACGGTTCTATCTACAATATTAAAATTATTTAAATATCTTTTTCTACATATAATTAATTATGTTTATAGACATTATCAAACATTTATATTAAATAAACTTACTTTCATTTCTAAACGATGAAACACAGGATCTGGCAAAACATCAGCCGAACCATGATCTATGTCTTTCCCGCTTTGTTCGCTTTCATTGGATTCGCTAGTATTTTCAGATTGCGATATTCTAGGTGTTAACGCCTTCTCCAGTATAGAATTGTTATGTTGTTTACAAACTTTTTGTTTCTTTTTAGGTGTTTCTTCCTTGACGACAGGTATATCCACGTCAATGCTTTGTTCCAAATCCGCCAGCCTCTTGAAAGAATCCTTAGAGAATATATCTCCCCCCGACAAGCCACGTATTTGCAACGTCTCAGCAGCTTTCAATAATGCTGGTAAATTTTTCTGCTCTATATTAACCTCTCCTTTATATATAAATATAAGTAATGCTTCAAGCTCACAAAAGCGGACATCTTGCAGTATTATGACTGGATGCTGGCATGGGTTTGCCTATGAAGAAAATTGAATAAATAAGTGAAGAAAAAAGTAAAACTGTATATAATGCATAAAAACAAAATATTACTTATAATTATAAGAAACAATTAAAAGATAAATATTCGAATAATGTGTCAAAAGCATGGCAAGATCTGAATGGCAGCTGTCAAACATTTGAACTAACAAGAAAGGGAAAGATAAATAGAAATCTGACGGATAAGTAAAAGAAAAAAAGATATTTGTTTGTAAAGTAATGTTGGGGAAAAAAAGAAATCAATAAAGATATTAATTACCTGGAAGACTTTCTTGAAGAATGGACTACTGGCAGAAAGTATAACTTTGTGTGCCGTAAGACACTGTCCATCACTAGCAAGTGTCACGTCCACCAGGCCTTCTTCCTCCCAAAGACTCTCGAAGCTCGTCGCGATATTGTTCAGGAAGCTGTTCCACTTTAAGCATATTTGGCTTGACATGTCAAAAGAAATAAACTAAATCAAGAAGCGTATTAATTACCGCCCGATACCGAATTTGACGCGTTAATATGAATGCGTTTACACGGTGAATAAAACAGCGAACGCGAGAGAGCAGCGATCGTGCCAGGTACGCACAAACATCCTCCAAGTTGCTCGGGAGTATATAGTCAATATGGCTGCCGTGCAACCAGCGAAAACGCGCCAAATTCAAAACTCGTCGAAGCACCTCTCACTCTTTCTCTCTCTTTCTCTTTTTCCTTCTCTATCGTTCATTAAACACACGTACATTCCTTTCATATTTTACACTTCAAAGTATGTATGACCAAATGAAGAAATTAAAAATAGATTTATTTTATCCCCCATCGAATTAATTAAACTTATTTTTTAGATTTATTACAAAGTATACAATATCTTCCACGTACTGTTTTATCATTATCGATCGTTTGATTATATTCTTTATGCTTATTTAACTTGGAAATATGTATAATTAATTGAAGAAATTAAGAAATGTATCTATCACCGTGTAAAATTAATTAAATTATTTTCTCGAGATTTGTATGTAACAAAGTATCGCATATTATTTCATTATTAACGATCAATTAAATTATTAAAATACCACCTATTGTTTCATCGTTATAGAGATCGTTTTCGTTATTCCTTGTATTCGTTTATTCATTTATACAAATATATTTGACGTCAATAAGTCCGAGTTATTGTAAAGAAGATCGAATATATTAAAGCAAAAGTCTTGCGTATATACGCGCGTAGATACGTGCGTGCGTGCATGCGTGCGTGCATGCAACCTGGTTGCCTCCCATGCTGTGTGCTTACCGCATACTGGCTCGCGTGCGATGCATGCTTGCGTGTGTCCATGCCTATAACAAAGTTTTATAATCGTTAAGATTCCACCTTGCTTCGTATTCAACGCGTAGCTACATGAAAAAAATAAGAAAAAGATGATGAAGAAAAAGTACGTTTATTCTTTTTAAAGGAACATTATCCATCAAAATTTAAAAAAAAAAAAAAAGAACAAATCAATTTGTAGTAAAATGTATTCGTACAAACGATACGCATCGAATTTCTAACGAGATATTAAATCTACAACTCTGTATAAAAGTCTCTGGATGTTTAAAAAAATAATAATATCGTTCGTTGAAATTGTAAAACGGATTAATGATAATCATTATCACGCGAACTTGGAAAAATTTTCAAGTTTAATTTTGTTGAATGAAATGACTAAGTTTAAAAATTATTTGATTTTATTTAGCTAGAAGAGTGGGTTGAAAAGTTTTGAACTACTACAAAAACACTATTATTTTCTTTATAAAAAAATTGTTTCTATATTAGACTCAAAACTTTTCAACGTAAATAGATCATATATTACAAAGTACAATGAACATGGATATTTTAGATAGTAAAGTATTAATTAATTTGTGCTCGATGATATTTTCCGCTTACAATTAAATAAATTAGCATCTGGAGATGATTTTACGATTATTTATCGAACTCCTTACACAACTAATATAAAATAATTTTATAAGCAAATTACTGTGTGAAACATAATTTAATATTTTCTGTATCCTTATATTTTAAAAGATATCATTTTATAATATTGAATTTTTTTCTCCGACCATATTTTTCGTAAACATTAATGAATCATACTGATCGGAATTATTTTTGGGTCCCGTATGCTAAGTCGTTTATATTATCTAATAAATGTATCAATTTTATTTCAATAAATTTATTAGTGCAAAATGCATATTCTTTATTATTTTGTTATTTGAATAAGATTTCAGGTAATTTTTTTTATGATATTCCTCAGTGATCCTACGTGAAATTTGTTCACACAAAATTTGGTCTTATTTCTATTTAATATTATTTCGTTTGTAACTTTAATTTCGAGAAGCTCGATTTTGAATTTTAAACGATTAAATATAACTTGATTGGCCTTATTATGCTTTCCGCGAACTAATGTTGATAAACATCGATGAAAAAATTATTATGAAAAGTGGCACAGAATTTATATAATGTATCAGAAAGAGAAAGAGAGTAATAGATCGTTTCCATTTGTCTTGTGAAGTTACATTACTGTGAAGTTAAAATAAAAAATTTTTAATTAAGAGTACGTACAATTTTCAATAATAATTTTATTACAAAATAATTATGTAAAGTATAATAATTAGCAATAATAAACAAAGTTTAATATCAATCAATTTGTTCTTAACTCGCATAAAGACAATCGTTCAGAATAACGGCAAATCAAATCATTTGAAATCGTTCAAAATTCCAAACAAATTTTCCCGAAAACAAAATTTCAAATGAAAGAATGTATCAAATTTGTTTTCTTATTTCACCAACCCCAGCCTGGTTTTATTACCGACCCATCTTCCGACCCATCAAAAACCGATTATCGTTGATTACATTGTCATTTCTTTTATACTTTGGTCATTTCGTTTGTCTTCCAACATGTATAAAGAAGTCAACTCTAAGGATAAACGAAGATCTAAAATGTAGAATGTATATTAATTTAGGTTTTAATTTTTGTTTTTAGGATGAACTTAATATGTGCCTGGAAAACCTATTCCTACCAGAAGAAGAAAGAATATCAAATTCTCCTTTCCAATTCAGTTCAAATGTGATACCGACATGTTGGGCAGGGGTCAATAATCCTCTTTTTACTTTTAGCAAAAACTACCATATACAAATGACAATTTTCATGATATTCAGGACGGATAGTTGGATGGTTATTAATAAATATGAAAAAGCTAAAAAGATTTGGGAGGAATACGTGGAATTAGAACAAGAAGGATTGGAGATAGAAAAAGTACAAAAATGGATGATGAAAAGGGAGGAAATTGAACGCATGAATAGAGCAACATTATATAAAGAAGAAGTAAAAATAGAGAGGGAAGAGATGACAACAAAATCGGGATGGTTAAATAATGTCGTTAAGGATAAAGATGAAAGTAGTGGACAATTGATAAACGAATTAGCACATAATGAAAATTGCGAAACTAATGACGAAATCACATTGAGAAATGAAGATTCATTTAAAAGCGAAGATTTAGACTCCTCCAATAATAAAACTAAAACAAATAATAATTCCACGGACAAAAGCCAAATGAACACCGATACGTGTAACAACTATAAACAAGTAAATTCCAAAGAAAAGTACAAAGAGCACGATTTGGAATTAATAATAATATAAAACAAGGTAATAATTATTCTATATATACATACATATATGTTTATATATGTAGAAATACGTAGAAAGAGAGAGAAAGATTGTTAGTTTCTCCTTAAGAAAATGATATATAAATTTTATGGAATCATTGCGATCAAATTTTATAAAAATGTAAAAATAATGACTTTACTTTTCTTTTTTACTATGGTGTAGGGGTGAAGGATAAATTCATGGGTGACAATTGATTTCCTGGTGCAGCATCCGTCCTTGCGCTTTGCTCTATAACTGGATCAGTTTCATTCATATCTTCTACCTATGACAATTCAATATTATGAGGAAGGAAACATAAGCAATACTTGTGTAAAAACATTATTGTAAGACAAGACTTAAATAAAATTTGTACATACCACCATTGAATTCTCTTCAACTTTTGCTCTTTTCTGTGCAATAGTCCTTAAAAGTCCTTTAGCTTCCTCTTTGGTTTCATCAAATTGAAGACATTTTTGAGCGTAATGGTTTGCTCTATCTAATTGTTCTCGTTTTAAATGATACTGCGTAAGATACTTGTAAGCATGACTCAATTCGGTTCTATCGGCATTTCTAAATTCATCCATTACAAAATCTGTATAGGCTGCAGCTGCATGATCATGTTCGCCCAACTTTTCATAGAGACTACAATAATTTTAATTATAAAATAATCTTAATAATACTTGTAAATTAAGAATCGTTCTTAAGAAAAAACGTACTTAGCTAATTTTATTAAAGCTACTCCTTCGATATCCCCTACGTTGCATGCTTTAAAATAACACTTGAGTGCATCTTGAATTTTATCTTGTTTTTCGTATGCCTCGCCCAATGCAAGAACCATACGACTATCGTGAGGTCTCAAAAGTTGTGCCTGTTTGTAATAGTACAACCCGTAAGAAGGCATCTTTAAAATTTCATAAGTTTGACCCAAGCCATACCATGCTCTATAATCCCTTCTATTAACTTCTATATAAAACACAAAACAAATTCATTTAATAATTAATCTAATAGACAATCTAATAACTGATAACTCGTATTCATAAAAAGTACCAATGGCTTGACGATAACTATGAATTGCACCATTAGTATTTTTCATTTCCATAAACTCATGACCAAGTAACGTCCAAGCGGATAAATACTGTGGGTTAAGTTTCAATGCTCTGTGGAAATACATCACTGCTTTCTGATGATCTGCTCTTAAACTATAATAATTTCCTATAAATAAACGACATTTCGTAGAATATTTTGCAATCTTGAAAGAAATCAAACCAATTTATTTCACCGTTCAAGTCCCAGGAATCTTCAGAAAAATGCCAAATAGCACGACCATATATACATATTAATTATGCATCATAATTCAATAGTGTAGCACTTTATAACAAGAAATTTGAACAATGTGGTCATGTTGCTTGAGACTCAAACAGTTAAAATTTGAATAAATATGAAAATAGCTTACCTACTATACAACATGTTTCCAATCGATATTTATCTATTTCCGTTGCTCTATGCGCTAAATATGCTAATTCTACTTTCATTTCTTTAACGTAAAGTAAATTTGAATATGTATCCATATTGTCAAGACAATACGGATCCTCTTTAATTATGTGCTTGAATGTTTTTATAGCATTGTCAACATCTACAAATTATTTATATATAATAGAATAAAATAATTAAAAAAATAATGCTACTTGAATAGGAAATAAAAAAAGAACACTAATATTACCTCTCCTATAGTGAACAGCAATCGCAGTTTGAGCAAGTACATATGAATTTTTTTCAAAACCCATAGACTGTAATTCGCAATACATAGCTAAGCCCTCGTCAATAAGTTGCAACTCCAAATACATGTGTGCCATAAAGAAATGTTTAATCCAATGATTTGGAAGACTTAAACTTTCCAACTTCTCTCTATCAGTGATTAATGCAGCTAACTCTAACCAAGTACCCCAGTGCATTGGCTGCTTGTGAGTGGATTCAATCAAAACTTCGGTTGCCTCTTTGTTAAGCTGAAGTTTTTTCAAAGTAACTCCAAATAAATATAAACAAAAGCCATCTAATTTACCAGCCAAATGATCTTTCCTTAAATCAGCACAGAGTAATTTTAAACAATCATTTTTCATAGGGTCTGGTGGTATATCCGTCATGTCATCTATTTTCTTTTTCTCTCCTGACAAGTAGCGAGAATACAAATACAAAAACCTTGCTTTTGGAGTTGTACATTTTTCAGTAAAATATGCTGCTCTATCGTATTCTTTTAAATCAAAATAAGTTTTAGCTAAGATATAGGTGTCATCTTCTTCACTGGATTCTATCACACTAACGTCTGTAGTAACATCGTGTAAATCTACTTTGACATCTTTTAATGAATAATTCAATTCTGCCAGCCTATAATATAAAGAGTTAACTTAATTTTGATTTACTTTCTTATTCTAAAATCCAAAAATCATTTGACGTACCATTTAGTTGTATGTAGTAAACCACGTTGAGTGCATTCATTTATAGCCGGTAACAAATCACACTTAACCTCTTTAATGTTAAATTTTACAAGATCATCCATTTATAATCAATTTGCCTAAAGTCATCACATGCAATAATTTACAATAAGTTTTTTAAAATTATATATAATTTAACAAAAACAATTGTTATTTCTCTTTCTACAGTATATTCATTCCTATGTACAATGTATAACATTTCTTTTCCCAACCAATAATCCTTTAACTATATCCTTGAATGTCAACAATATGACACAGAATAATATAGCCAAGATTGATCATCATATAAGGTGTAAAGCAGTCTACGATCATTACGCCATCTTGTTCAGCCATTTTCATGCGTACGAAATTTCAAAAGTATTCGTAATTAGTATAATATATAAATCATAGATCATAAGATTTTGCGATTGATATAATAGAATTATGTTTTATAATACTTCTAAATATTATTAGAATGCCTAAAATGATGTATTATTATAATTAGAAGGAAATATAACACAAAACGCATATATACATATATATATATATATATATATATATATATATATACATATATATTATTATATATATATATAATAAATTGAACAGTTTAATATATTATAAACTTGTAATTAGATTAAATAATTTAATCCGCTGTACAATATCGAAAAAAAGATCTAAGAAGATAATAAACCTAATGTTTGTAAACATATTTGTGCAGCTTCTGCTTTAGCTTGCTTCTTATTAGGACTAGCAAATGTCGGCTTGTATTCAATACCATTTACTTTAACCTGTAGAAAGATAAGAAATAGACAAACATTTGTTTAAATTTATTAATAACAATTGTCAATTAGAAAATATATCTTAGACATACTTTAAATAGAAAATTTTTTTTATGATCTGGGCCACACTCAAAACACAATTCGTATACAGGAGCACCAAGTTTTCGTTTAGAACAATATTCTCCGAGCAGTGATACTGGATGCTTGCCTTTATACAATAACTGGACATCATTAAATATCTAAATATAAATATTCTAAAATAAAATGTCATTTTCACATAAATGTACCTTCTAATGTTTTAATAGCCGGTATTACTGGTTTAGCCATTTTATTAATCTTTTGTCCAATATCTTGTTCCGAAATAAGACCTCTTTTATCTAATTTCACTTCTAGCTGTAACGGCTCCAATGTACCTTCTTTATTTTTACCCAAACCTTCACCTGGTCGCCAACCCATCTTTTGTAATAAAGCCATTCCC